GGATTTGTATTAGTCCTATATGTATTTCCCTAAATCTCAATACCGTAGGTTAATTAATCCAGAGGTGGGCTGTGTACAACGGTGTACAACATGATTTTTGAAACAATAACAACTTTACATCCTTTGTATTAGAACCAAACGTACGCACAAGAGTATTTGCCTGAGCATAGATCATCCTACACTATCTATACACATCATCATTATCATCTGTCAAGTCCACGGTGATGATATGCCCCAGATATTTAATTTTTGTTGTAACAGACAACACAATATTCGACAGGCAAAAGTCAGGATATCTCATGTGCTTATCTTCTTTGGTCCTAAAGATCATGACCGTACTCTTGGCTGCATTATACTTTATATCAAGCTCCACACCGTAAACTGAACAGATGTTGACCAGCGGTGCTTGGACTGAAACAACCAAGTCATCCGCATACAATTAAATGATTCACAACGAGATGTAAGATAAGATCATATTAAACTTGTGTCTTTTACAAAGCTGTTCTGTAGTTACAAACACATCACAATTAATAATAAGAGGTGTAACAATATCCAAGTCTCACGATAGGATATCATCACGGTATGAACCTCACAGTACGATATGTATCGTGGAAATGCTCACGATATGTTGGAGAGACTCACGATTAGGGATGTAACGATGTCCAGATCTCTCAGTACGATATTTTCACGCTATATGTCTCACGGTACGATATTTATTGTGATATTTTGTGGAGGAAAACTGTTAATATGCTACTTTTTCCTCTTAAAATGCCTTGACAAGACTTAATCCAAAGAATTAAGACTTAAAAGTGCTTAGAACTGTTATTTCTTCATTTAGTTGGCGCTTTAATGGGGCAAAGGATCATGGTATATATAGTTTTCTCTGTCTTTTTTTTTTTTTTGGCTATTGCTGCATCATAACTCTTAATTTAAGCAAAGAGACTTGTAATTTGATATATTGTGATGGTTCACAACATTATTGTGAGAACTTTGACACGATATTTCAGTTATTGTTACATCCTTAATTAATAATAATAGTAAATATAAGCAACAAAACTGAAATAAGATCATGCATTATAATAAGGTAAGCAAAAATACTGATTCTCAAACCAACTCCAATATTTGCTTTTTGTGACCAATATCCAGGTTTTAAAATCATTATTAGACCCACAAATCCATAAAGTTCTCAAATTAACTTTTCGCTTCCACTCGTGAACAAATGAGTTTTTATACTGACATTATAACTCTTCAGCTCCCTCTGCACATCAGGCCGACTGACTCACTCACTCCCTGTTTTTAAGTCTCACTAAGTCTCACCTTTTCTCTTTGGCTTTTTTGTTTTAGGGATGACTACCATTTGTCACTGCTTGTTATGTTGTAATGTTGGATTGGTGTGCATCACGGTTGGTTGGCTGTGTTGTTTTTAAAGTGCTCTAGAAATAAAGTTGGGCTGAGTTGAACTACTTAAAAGATTCACTATGTAGTTTTTTTTTCTCACGGGGATCCACCACCTGCTTGTCTTCGTGATGTTATTGCTTTATCTGGAATTTTCCACAGTATAGCAGCTTTATTACTCAAAAATACCCTGAAAACATGCATTCTTACAGTGAGCTGGGCCCCCTTTCCACAGATCTGACCAGTAACTTGGTGCTGTAGAATAAAAAGCTGGAAGAAGAGACATGAATAGAAGTTTATTTATTGTCAATACAAGACCCAGGACCCAGAGACATGAACTTTCAAGATCAGTTCCAGCCTAGTGCAGTCTAATCTATGCTTCAGTTGTAGGGGATATTATACCTATACCTATAATGACGTAGGGAAAGATAACAAGGACTGAGCTGACTGAGAAATGCAGTTTCTCTAATGCGTTGCCTGGTGTTGTCACCTGCTTGTCTTCATGCAGACAGGAACATTTACTGTCATGCTGTAACATCTCCATGGAGACAAGCAGAATCACAACCAAAAAAGTTACATCGTGTATAATACCTTTTATACCTTCACCACTACTTCATATTTCTTCTGCTATATAGTAGGGATGTAATGATATCCCAATCGCACGATACGATATTATCACGATATTTTGGAGATGGACTCTTTTTTGCTTTTAAAATACCCTGATCTCACAATCCCAAGGTTTCAAGTAAAAAACATATTTCTTCATGTTGTTTATACTAAAATGAATCATGAGCTATGTAGTTCCTGATGTTTATAAGCTGTTGCTACTATAAAAAATGCATTTAAGCAAAGAAACTTCTGATTCGATATATTGTGACAGTCCATGATATTATTCTGAGACTTTTGACGATACGATATCACAAAATTTTGAGTACTGTCACAGCCCTACGATACAGAGTTGTCAAGTATCAAAAATCAGATAATTGATACTTAAACCGGTATCGAAACTAGGGGTGTAACTATATCCAAGTCTCACGATACGATATCATCACAGTATGAACGTCACGGTACAATATTTACTGCGATATCATGGGAAGTACGATGTTTTCATGATATACATCTCACGGTAAGATATTTGTTGCAATATTTTTTGGACAAAACTGTTAATGTGCTACTTTTTCCTCTTAAAATGCCTTGACACGACTTACTCCAAAGAACTAAGACTTAAACGTGTTTAGAACTGTTATTTCTCCTTGTAGTCTACACTGAAATGGAGCAAAGGATCATGGTCTATGTAGTTCTCTCTGTCTTTATTTTTTAGCTATCGCTGCACCATAACTCTTCATTTAACCAACGAAACTTGTAATTCGATATATTGTGATGGTCCACGATATTATTATGAGAACTTTGACGATACGATATCACAATATATTATCCCTAATCGAAACTAGATACTATTTTGAGCAAGTATCGATACTAAAAAGTCATTCACATTCAGAGGACAGAAATGAACATTTACTGAATAGATTTAAAATGAAGTATAAGAGCACATAGACTAGTATATGCCCAAGGACCACTGTGGAACTTAAAAGGATGACTGAGAGATTACAAAAATATAAGACCATGTGGTAATATAAAAGAAAGTACTATGATTTAATGTTGAACGTCGCAAAGAAAGAGTCATTTTTTTTATTATCATTGTGGTATCTGAATCTGTTTTGAGCATAGAGTCTATTCCTTAGTATCAAGTTTGAAATTTTTGTATCACAAAAGCACTACACCAGTTGCAGTACTCTTTCTTAACGCTCTCCTGGTCTCCCTATTTCAAACACCTACAGTTTAGCTGCTGTATCCCTCTGTTTTGCTACCTCTAACCTCCTGCAGATTGTCTTATATCAGCCTTTGTGTGCCCATCCAAATGAACGCGGCGCTTTAAATAATACGCTGAAGGCAAACAGAGGGACCCCATCAACCTCTGAGCGCTATCCTCAGTGAAGTCATCAATCCAGCGCTAAAGCCGCCCTGCGTAATGACATTGTGGCAGTGTACCCGCTCCGTGCTGCTGCAAAACATATTAATGCTAGCCATAATGAGTTTGACAGCCCAATGTGGCTGTCAGGAGGCAACCCGAGCTGTGGCTTAGACAACACTGCCCCCACATGGACGGCGGAGGGAGTGTGACTGCAGAGGGTGGTGCAGTGGTGTAATCATATGGAAAATGTCTACTAGAAGATTGAGTTAAATACTAAAGGTGAAAGTAAAGTCATTTTGTGTATAATGTTGCCTCTAATAGATTTATTACTATAATACGTGTATGCCTGACTGCTGTTTTTAAATAACCGGCCTGACAGTTTTGTTTTGTTGAGGTCAGACTCCAAATTCAAGCCATACCTTTGTTCTTTGAGTGACAGATTTTGTAGTTTTTTAACTCCTACTTGAGTGATTTCTTGGACCACTACTTCGTACTTGCATAAAAGTCATTTTAATGTGTAAAGCTTCACATTTTATCCAAGAAAAAAGTTTAATTTGGGATATTTTCATTGCACTGAAGAATAGGGGTATGCAAAAATATCAGAATATCGATATATCGTATTGTTTAATGTGATGATACAGTATCGATATCGTGGGCTGCTGTATCGATATATATCACCAAGAGTATTTTTTGATATAGTTTACTAAATAATTTTGTTACAGACCTACAGTTGTGTTGCTTGTTGAGATGCAAAACTTTTGACATTTTCACAGTTTTGACGATTAAAATGTTGCACAAGAAGTGGTTTTACAAAGACTTTTAGTATCACAGACATTATTTTGCCTTTATTTTATACTGAACTGTATCGATTCAATTTGAAATATATCGTACTGAAAGCTCACTATATAGAGACATGCATCGTATTGTGACCTATATCGGAAACTTCCCATGATACCCACCTCTACTGAAGAATATCGAAAACAGGCATCCTAAGTGTGAGTAGGCTTGCATCTCCACAAACTACTTCTGCTTGTTTCCATGGAAATGTTATTCATTTGACTAATATATTTCACACTATGTCATAAAATTTGTATATCCCCATGAAGAATTTTCCGAGCTTTCCACCATCATCAACCCTCATCAAAAACATGCCTGAAAAGGTTTGCATGTTTCAGTCTTTTAATGATCTCTCTCGGGCACTATTCAAACTCTCCTTACAGTGAGATGTAAGATTTCGCCTAATACTCGGCCCACAAGCCTACGTCATCTGCTCCCACACGAAAATTCTCCATAAATATACAAAAGTATGATACAGAATTGTACAGCTCGACAACCCTGATACGATGCGCAGTAATTTAAGGCGGAGTGACTTAAGTGCGGAAAGCTGAGGAAAGGGAAACTCAAAACGTAGTGAAATTCATAAAACATTTAATTTTAATATGTTGTTTTTGGTGAATATATTATCTTCAAAACATTTAATGGTAACATACTCATCAAAATATGTCATGTGTTAGCAGTTATTACCCCACAGAAGTAAAATCCCCCTTCGTTACACACAACTTTTGGCAACTTTACCCCACTCTGTCATTAATTCCACGACTCTAAAAAGTCTTGAACTGTTTTTGTCCCTCAGGATCCTGGAGCTTCAGCAGAACGGAGACATGGACGTGCTGAAGCTGAAGTGGTGGCCTCGTGACAGCCCCTGCGACCTGTACAGCTCAGTCCAGACGCGACGCACCGGAAACGCCCTGGACATCCACAGCTTCGCCGGGGTCTTCTGCGTGCTGGCGGCCGGCGTGCTCCTCTCCTGCCTCATCGCCATGGTGGAGAGCTGGTGGTCCAGACGAAAGGGCTCCCGCGTGCCGTCCAAGGAGGTACGTGACTTGTAGTATCTTGTACTGTGAAACCTGTTTAGGATTCAACAAGAGTTTAAACTTAAATTAAATAAGGGCTAACCTAAACCCAGTGGTCCTGATGTAAAGGGGTCTCGTGTCCCGTCCAAGGAGGTATGAGATTTGCATTTGGAAACCTTTTTAGGATTCAGTAAGAGCTTAAACTTAAATTATGCTGTGATAAATAAAGGCTAACCTAAAGCTGGTGATCCTGATGTCAAGGGGTCTCGTGTCTCGTCGAAGGATGTACGAGATTTGCTTTTGGAAATCTGTTTAGGATTAAACAAGAGCTTAAACTCAGACATAAACTTGTACCATTTTGTATTGTGAAAACTGTTTAGGATGGAACAAGTTAACCAGAACTTAAACTATGCATCAGTAAGTGCATCTGTGTCCCATCCAAGGAGGTACGAGCCTGGTGGAGGGCTAGACGAAAAAAAAAAATTGGGATACCAGGGGAAATATGATATAGGATTGAACAATTGTTAACCAGAATTTGAACTAGACTATGCATTAGTAAATATAAGGACCAAACTAGTGTTGTACCATCCAGCTTTTTCAGTTTCGATACATTAAAGTGCCTGATAAATAAAGTTGCGTTTGCCAATATCGATATCAATGCTTCATCATCTACATCTTCTGGTACCTGATTTCAACCAATATCACAGCAGAGACTGAAAATATGCGATGAACTTTTATCCTTGAAACCATTTTTTTTCTGGATTGGAGTTGATATCGGTTACCAGCATCGATATTTGTGCATCCCTGATATAAACCTGGTGAAACGAGAATCAATAAGGAGACTAAAATAAGACTAAACTGATACGTAAACATTGCAAATCATAAAAAAAGGGACTAAATCAGGACTAAAATAATGAAGAAAATAATGGGGGAAGAACCAGGACTTAACCAGGACTAAGGATGCATTCACACTTGTAGCTTCAGATCATAGTGGGACTAAACCCAGAACTAAACCAGGTCTAGAACAGGACCAAATAAGTGTGGACACATCATAAACACATCTTTTCCACAAACAGACCAGTTTATTTTACGTAATATGAGTCATGATAAAACTCAAGTTAGAAGTTGCTAATTAGGGTAAGTAATAATTGTATTTTTGAAGAATAGTTTTTGGCTTGTTGATTAGATTCACCCACTTAGAGATGAACTCTTGGTCATGAGTCTAGCATAGTGTTACCATGGCAACCAACACTTTCATCTCAATAAGTTTATGAAACATTAAAACCATTGCTTTGCCTGCACCAATGCACATACATAGTTGAAAATGTCCTTGGCAAATTCTTTGTAGCAAAAAGTGTGGTTAGGTTTTACTATATTCATATTTTTATTTTTATTTTTTGTTTTGGGGTTTTTTTTACATTTTGAGCCGGCATAATTACTTTCATTACTGCAAGAAAGTTGAGGGTTCAATCTCCAACTCCAGCTTTCTTGCACAGTACACCTCTCTTCTGTCCTTGGGCAAGACACTTCTCTCTCCCTCCTGACCTGTTCTATTGTGTCACAGCGATGTGTGAATGAAGGTTGGAGCAACCACAGATTGGCAGCCAGGCATCCGTCAGTCTGCCCCAGGGCGGTTTGCGGAAGCACAGCTCAAATTTGCATTGATATATAAATAGAAACATCAGTAATAACTAAGATATCTAAAAAGTTGTAAAGTACCAATACACAGAGTAAAGTAGTTACTATTGCATTGTTTAAAGATACTATACGTGCCCTCTACTGGTGAAAATGTAATTAACTTACTAATAGTAGCTTTAAATTTCCTATATTACACAAAATTGACTTCTGTGAGCTTTAAGGCATGTTATGTGAGCTTCAAGTTGTGTTTTGTTTCATTCACATGTTTGAGTAATCCTTTATTATTAGTCTGTCTAAAGCTCAAAATGTGCTGTTCCATCTTGAGATCTCATGAAGCTGTAGTTTTCTAGCCTGATTCATCAACTGGTTTCACTTTGTGGAAACTGTCTGACCTCGCAGCATTAGGATTCATTCAATCGACGGTAGACCAGTACATTTTTATTTAACCAATCTTTGCGATTTTGTCATGACATATGTAATGCACCAAATCCCGTAGGAAGAAGAGCAATAACGTCTTTCCCTTTGATAAAATTCACCAAACATTCTCTTTGTTCCGGCTTTAAATCCTCAATCTCGGAAATCGTTGCCAACACAGAATGTCTGGTTTCGTCTACATCCATCTTGACCGCTTTGTTTACTGTTGTGCTGTACCACAAAAGGGACCCAGACAGGTGCTTGAGTTTGACGTCATGGCTTCACAGCTCTTCACTGATTGGCCGGTGCGCAGTCTACAACTTCTGGGATTCTTGCAAACTGTCTAGTGTATTCTGATTCCTGACCTAGTCGCTGGAGAGAAATGAAATTGAGTGGATGCACTAGTTTTCAATTTAACAACTACTTTTTACCTTTTGTTTAGCAGCGATTGGTAATTCTAGGGCTGAAATCATCCAAATGATTCTAGTGAAGGTGAATGGAGTTTAAAAGCACAGTATATCACCTCTTGTATTGCCACGTGACATCACAAAGTGGAACAGTGTGTTTTCTGTTAGAACAAGAAGCCTCTTTAACACAAGAACCCCTAAATGTGCAGGGTTTTTGTGTTAAACGTGTGAATGAAAAAAAACACAACTCTAATTTTGTTTGTGATGAGTAAACAACATTATAACATAGATCAGAAAATAGCGTTGTATGGGCCCTTTAAGTCTGTCTATTCAACAAATCAAATGCATGTGTAAAATAAGGACAGCTCTATCCATAGTAAGTCTATTCTGAGCAGGTCTGAAGCCTCTGCACTGCCTCTGTCAGTGCACGGGGCTGGGGGAGGTGTGAAGTGGTCCGTAGCTTAGAGCAGAAAAATGTAGCATTAGCGCTTAAAAGCACTAAGCCTTTTTGGAGCGCCGATAAGGAAGGTAATTTTCTCAAAGTCAAGATGTATGACGAACCCAGATTAGAGGAGGGAGGGCTGCACCGCGACAAAGTTGTGATGCTGACGAGTCTAGATAAAGTCTCCAAAATACTGTAAAAGTACTCTTAACACTGTACTCAAGAAATACTACCCCATATAAAAAGTATATCACCTACTTAAGTGTTCAACCATGGGCAGCTGTGACGACAATCGCTGCTTATTCACTGTTTGTGGAGTGAATGAATAAAGCATTGTAAAGCATCTTTGAGTGTCCAAAAATATATACATTTCATGCTTCATTATTATTCTTAAAGGTGCATTGCATAACTTTTCTCGTGGATATTCTGCCATCTGCTGGTTTCCATGGTAATGTTATTGCTTTGCCTGGGATGTTTGGTGTTTCTATTGCTCAAAAATGCAATAATTCTCTTTGTAAATAGGGTTGCCTCTCCACAGATCTGACCTTGACTCCTTTAAGAAAGATGGGATTCGTCTGTGGAACATTCTAGACAAAGCAATAATAACTCTACACCGTAAATTTCTTTGATCCAAGATTTTAAAACTTATATCTTAGGTTATTCATCTTGTTTTCAGATTTATTATGTACTTACTAGTTCAGAGACAGTTTAATTCTAGTCTAGAGGCGGTTTATTTTAAGATGTCTTGCTGCATGGACAGATAATTTCACTACTTTTAAGTCATGTTCTGATAGATTTATGTGTTTATATCTTAAATTGTTGGTCAAGCTTTTCTGCAGTGCATAAAAACAAGCAAGTTTCTGGTGTAGGACCCTGCACCAGAAAAATTATACAGTGCACCTTTAAACTAGAAGCAGGCAAATCTAATTGTAATGTTGTGGAGATATGATTCATTTGACAGGAATGTTCCTCAGTACAGCATTCCCTAACTTGTCTATCTCCATGCTACAAGCAGGTGACACAGTAGTATTAGTAGTTTAAGCAGTAGTATTTTCAGTTATTACCGTATTTTTCAGACTATAAGGCACAATAAGTTTTAAGGAGCAATATCAATCATGTTGAATTCTCTTGTTTATTTTCATACATAAGGCACACCGGATTATAACGCACATTAAGTGAAACAACCGGACGACACTTAAGACTGATCCTTTAGCCCAGGCGTCCACGATCCATTGGCAGATCGTGGCGTAATTCGCCCAGTGTTGCCTCCATGTCTTGGTGAATTTGTATTATGAATGTAAATGTGGGTGGATAATTAAAGTTTTTTAGTTTTTTTTCCCTACAAGGAGGACTCAAATATACAGTCAGTAATGATGTGTTTAATTCAGCTTTGCGCACATTTGTTTACATTTTACAGAAACAAAACTTAAAACCACATGGCTAATTTGCATAAACTGAATCTGAAAAAACAGCTCGCTCCTTGTGCGCTGATGTGATTCAGCTTCTGTTGGACTAAAGGACATGACTTACTCCACGAGACTCCTGACTAGAGTAGCTGTAATGCTCTGACAATCCATCAAGCAGTGTGGCTTCGTAGTTTACCAAAGTCATACTACAACATTTTGACACATTTTTGATTTTTGACACATTTTTGAGCATCGTGTACCACATAAAATCGGTTCAAGGTCAGTAAGAGCAACCAGAATTAGTACATAAGGTGCACCGGATTATGGGGCACACTGTAGATTTGTGAGAAAAAGATTTTAAGAGTGCCTTATAGTCCAAAAAATATGGTACATTTTAAGGCGCTTGCTTGTTGCCTGGAAAGTTCCACGGTGAGGCATTAACCGTCTTGCAAATTGCCGAACAGCAGGTCTTTTTATTGGAAAGTAAATACCTTGAAATAAAAAAGCAACTCTTCTAAAAAAAAAAAAAACATTTGCTCAGCTACTTTTACAAATTATTTCCAGAAACTCAAGACCTCAGCTCTGGTAGAATCCTGCGGGTGCTATATTAAACCTTTGTGATGTAACCTCCATTGATTCGCTCACATCGTCTTTCTGCGCTCCGAGCTGTTTGAATGAGCAAGAGTCAGAGCGAGGGGCAGCCGATGCAAAAGT